CACTTGAGGATGTGATTTAGTGGTGAACACAGCCACGCTGGGTTGTCAGTTGGACTCTTTCTTAAAGGTCTCTTCCAACCTTAATGATCCTCAGGATTCTGTGAAATACTTTGACAGCCTTCCAAAGTGAGCATCATTTCCCAGTTCCTTGGCAGTTATGTGGGTGATGCAACAGTTCCTAACAAGCTCCTGGCTAGTGCAGTCCCACTGGTAATATGTGTAAAAGCAGCAGAGTCCCATCCCACCTGCTTATAACACCTAGAGAACAATCTATTTAGAAATTATAGGTCAATTTGCATACCAGGCCTAAAAGAGACATGTTGTAGAATGTATCTGAGGATCCTGGGAATTCTCAAAATATGGCCACTGCCTGCTCAAACACAGGTTGAGAAGAATAGGACATAATTTGATAAAAGATGTTTACTTTCTTTGGGCAGAGCTATATTAGCAATCCAAAATGATGAGAGAAGAGATACTTTGATAGTAAATTTAGCTCCGGCTGTGACCTGCCAGGGCTGCTCAGATACAAACTATTGATCTGGCCCTATGGCCAGGAATCCTTCTGTTCCTTCTGCTTGTGGAAAGCAGTTTTGTCCAAAGAGCAAAAGATACAGCTGATAGTGAGCCAGAATTGGCAAAGTTCAGCTGACCAGGGTATTTACTGAATTAGCCTAAATATGTTGACTTTCAGCATATTGATATGTAACTGTTAAAAAAATACTCTAAAGAATAATCCTCTGGGTTTTTTTCTCAGCTTCTGTTTCTCTGTTAATTAGTACTCTCTGAGTGTTAGATGCTCTCAGTTGAATAAAAGCTGATGCTGATTAAAAGAAAATCTATTTATAGACAGGAGTTGAATTACAAGATATATGTTACAGAAACACTAAAGAAGAAGTGAGCATAAGCCAGACATCTTTTATTCAATGTCTTTAAAAGGAAGAGCTATTGATGTTTTTTCTTTTTTTTTTCCGAATACTGATTAGTAGGGAACCTGGGATTTTCTTGGATCACACATTCTACTTGGAGGGTTGTAATATGTATGGAAAATGAGGAGACAAAGGGATTGATGGTGTGTATAAGATGTGTTGGCACAACGTGCTGTCAGATTTCTCTGAAAGCAGGAATTTGGTAGGACATCAGTAATAACCAAACAGAGCTACGTGCTGGTTTTGCAGATCATTTCAAACCCATTGATTGACCTCATCACTTTTGTGTATTCTGTATTTTTTGACTGTGATTGTGTTTTAGAGGGCTTCAAGTTATTATTCATATTCCCACATGCATGTGGAGGGAACTGCACAGAACCATAGACAACTTAAAGGAACAAAATAAAAAATAGACCAAAAATCTGTTCCTTCAGCAAACACTTGGCTACTGAACCAATGTCATAATGTCAGTAACATGCAGCTGGCAAGTCAGGGTTTAAATTTATGGCTTTTCAGGATTAGGAGGCAGTTTATTGAGGGTACCTCCAACTCCAGATATCAGCAGATGTGTTTCACATCCTGGATAAACAAGTAGTGAATGTCTCTGTTGGCCTAGCAATTTTTACTTTCCATACAACATGTGGAAAAGTTTCAGTATCTGATCCTTATGAAGCATGGCACACCGGATTTTCTGGGCCTGGTAATTTTAAATGTTGAAAGCCTATTTTGATTTTTTCCCCTTTCCTTGATATTCTAGATGTAGCTTTTTTTAGCCAGTGAGGGGATGAAGTACAGGCAGGACAGTGTGCTGCAAAATCAGCTCTTTCAGCCTCACCAGAGATGCAGACCTTTAAAATGGGCCAAGCAGATGAACTTGAACTGAGTCTCCAGCAGAGAATCCCAGACTGGTTTGTGTTGGAAGAAACCTTAATTCTCATCTCCTTCCAATCCCTGCCATGGGTAGTGATACCTTCCACTAGAAAATGTAAATCGTATTTCCATGTGTAAACACATGTGATAAAACCCAGCTTGAATGAGTTAAACGTCTGAGATAAGCCTTTGGAAGTGAAGTACAGCATGAAAATTGCCTACTCATGTAGATAATGGTGTCTTCTAGATCCCACTGAGCTCTTTTGTTTTGGGTTGTTTTCTTCCTGGGATCTCTGCCTGGTTGTGCACACAAGGAATAGTGCATATCTAATGAGCTGCTTTCTTTTTCTTTCCCCTTGCTGTTTTTGCTTTGTGTAACCCTATGCCTCACTAGACACCATTCAGATCAGGATTTGAGGCTGGAGTTATTATTCTTCCATTTAGCATTTCTGCAGGACTCATCACTACAGTATTTCAGTGCTTCAGATGTTAATTGATTTTCATAACACCCCACTGAGATGGGGAATTATTATTAACCAGGGAAATGGAGCACAAGGAGATTGAGGTCAGAAGTGCTGCCCAGTTTGAATGCCAGCTTTGAGACACCTGTTATCTGGTTTATTATTTATTCAGTAGTCATATTAAACTCTTGAATTCCTTTAATTGCAGCTGCAATTCTGCATCTCATACTGAGTCAGAAGTTGGAACACAGGCAGTACAGTAAGGAAAACTCAGCTGAGCACTTTTGGCATTCTTTTCGTTAGGGATGTGCCTGTTTTCATGACAGTAACTTTGGGCAAAAGTGGGCCAAGTATTAAGTCGCAAGAGATTTTTTTCTTCCTTAATTTCTTCTGCTGATACAATGCTTATTCTTCAGCTCTTGGAACAAAATAAACAAGGCTCTACCTCCAGGAGTCTCTTCTGCTCCCTAATTGTAATTCATCACCAGAGTGGCTCCACTTGTGACAACAAATGAGTATAGAGGTTCTTTATGGAGTGTGAGATGTTCTTAATTAAAAAATTCCTGAAATGAATGCATAAAGATTGCCCTGTTTTTCTTTATTTTATGATTGCTTATGTACTCCTAATTTTCTTTTAACATTTATTCAACATAAACAGTTTTTTGTTCTCTCTGTTTTATTTCTGTGTTGATCTGCCTTCTGGCATCATTGGCCCATATTCAGCAGCTTCTTGATAGCTGGGAATGGCAGGAGTGTCAAGGACTCAGCATTGCTCCTCTGCAGAAATTCAGCTGTTCCAGAAGAGAGACAACTTGAGGCAGAGCTTGTTCAGCAGCATGGCAGCTGTCATAGCACTGGCATATGGAGATAATTCTTTTCCTCAGTAGAATATTTTCTCTGAGTTGACAGGAATTTTAGAAGTAAGATCATTAGGACCTGAATGCCTTGATAGCCATCTCACCTTGGTTTTTTTTTTCCTGATAAACTAACTAATCACGACTTTCAGAAGAATAAAAGTGGTCTGAAAACCTAAATGAGGGTGTCTGTAAACTCATGTGCTTTGGTACTTGAGAGCAGCGCTATCTACAAACTCTGCTGAAAAAAGATAGAAAATTAACTAAAGTATTGTTTTCTATATTTTAATAAGTAATTCTAAACTATCTTCCTAGATTAATTACTTGGTTTTCTTCCTTTATGAGTTTATCATATTTCAAAGATAGTTTGTCTTTTGAGGAGGAGTTAATTCTCCAGTCTTTGCATGTAAATCTTATTTTGGGCCCATATAATTATTTTCCTCTAGATTTTTTAGACACAGCTTTCATTAGTAGGGCTGAATTAAGACTGCTTCAGGTTTCTTTTAACTCTGTAAAAGTTCATGTGCCTTTGGGCCTTTACACAATTATTTTTGGCCCTAACTTGAGCATTCTCCTTGTCAACTTCTGTGTGCTCAGTTACACTTTGTCTTCCCCAGTCAAGACAAGTACTGGGCAGTCAAGTACAATGTCTCAGCTTGACTGGAAAACCTTGTGTGTGCTGGATGTGGTGATTTTCCTGAAACTTCCCCTGGATCTTTTCAAGTTCATGCTGAAAAATGTCTGTAAGAGATTTCTGTAATAAATTCTGTAACTTTCCAGGTAGATCTTTAATGCTGCTTCAGGCGTTTTCTCATAATTTAACTGCATGGTCAGATGGATTTGGGAGGCAGACTGCAGTTCTCCAGCCTCTCTGGTATTTGGAAGCCATGTAAATGAAAATAATCATTAAAGAAGTCTGATTAGAGAACTGCTTTTTATAATTCTTTTGTTATTAGTCTGTGTTTGTTGGCTTGTGATTTAGACAGTGGGGTTAGTTTTGAAATAAGCTTTTTTTTTTTTTTTATGAAGAATCCTGGTTAACAAGACACAATCTGAGAACTTAGAAGCTTTTCTGTAACAGAAATACTCTGTTTTCAAGATAAAAGTTATTTGTAAGGGATTTATATTCCAGGTTACAAGAGAAGGTTTTGTTGGTTTTTCCTTTAGGATTACAAAGGTAATGGAGAAAAGCACCATTTGATATTTGCCAACCTGAAAGTACAGCACACTGGAACCTGAAGATAATTAACTGTTGTAGCTCCAGCTCTGACATTTTGATACAACTTCCTCATTCACACAGTGATGTTCTTTAGGTCTGTCTGCAGTGATTTCCATCTTTTTCTAGAAATCCTTTATGAGTTTTTAATTAACACTTTTTTGGTAGATTCATACATACAACATTTCAAATTAGTAGCTTTAAGCTTGCAAGACAAAGCCTAATTTTTTGGTGGGTTTTTGCGTTGTGTTTTTGGTTTGGTTTTTTTGGTGTAGTTTTTGTGTGTGTGTGTTTGTTTGTTTCTGTGTTTGGGGGGTTTTTTGTTTGTTTTTTTTACTGCCAGAACAACACAATTAGTATATGATCTGTGGTAAAAACTCACCAGCAATTAAAGAACTGATAATTTCCTCAGAGTTTTAAATCTGAACCTTTAAGCCTGCAGGACAGAAAACGTGCCATGTTGTTCTTGTTCAACTGTCAAGCTATAACTGCATAAGAGACTAAAAAGGATTTTCATTTTCTTCTCAAAGCATTTTTGGAGAAGTCAGTAAAGCAGTTATCTAATGTATCCATATTGAGTACATGTTGAATTTTCTATTATATTACCTTTAATTATACTGTTAATGGGTTCATGTGTCAGGATTTTTCTCTTTTTATTTTTTTTTTTTTACAGGATTCTGCTCAGGAGAGTGTCATCAAACGAGATATCCATCGTACATATCCAGCACATGATTATTTTAAGGATACAGAAGGAGATGGGCAGGAATCTCTGTACAAAATCTGTAAGGTACAGTCAGTACTCTGAGTTTTAAAGTTCCATATTTTGTGTGACTTTCTTTTGCCTTGCTAACCCTGTTCTGGTCCAAGTTGTTAATCAGTAAGATTTTAAAGCTTTGTTTAGATTGCATGTGGAGACTGTGGTGTTTCTGCATTCCCTTTTGCAGCCTTGCATTTGGTACCTCTTAAGGTGCAGGTGAGAAGAGGCTCAGGCTGGCTTTGCTGAGGTGAGAGGGAGGAACCTGTTCAGAGGGAGTGGTGTAGGAGCTCCTCTTTTGCTCTGAGGTGAAGAGATTTGCAGAGGAGGAGAAACAGACCCTCAGAGCAAGCTCTGCTGTGAGATTTAACCAGAGTGTCGGTAGATAATTACCTGGAGAACAAGTTTTTGACCATTCCCAAGTAGTGTGTGAGCAGAGCTTTTCACTCACAGCTGCCAGATCACCTCCAATGAAAAACACTCTTTAATTTTTCCAATTTGCACATGGGACAGTTGAGGTACTAAATCAATAGATTTGTCCATCTTGTACAGACAGACTTCTTTTGTTTAAGAGAGATCCAGAAGGTGAAATATTGCAGCCATGCAGCGAAGCAGACACTGTTCTGGCTGGCAGTTGTAGATGTTGCTGTGGTTTTGGCAGTCAGCCAGCTTTTGTTTCACTTTTTTTTTTCCTAAAATTCATAAAATTCATGTAGAATATTCTGTAGAATATTATATAATGCAGAATTCATTCTGTTCATATAGAATGAATGATTGCCTTAGGCAAAGCCATTTCCCTTTCCCTTCCTCTTCCTTGTGGCTGTTTCCATCTCCTGCTGATTACTAGGAATGATGGAGTTGTCAAGCAGAAAAGTGTTCAGCCTTTGCTGTATAATGACACATTTTCCTGTTCCCCAGATAAATTCTCTGGTGATACAAACTCCTATTCAAATAATAATGTGGATGAACATTAAATATAGCTGCTTAGCTACTGGGCTTCAGTATTGTGAGCAATTCACTGTTTAAAAGAAATACAAAATTGGGGAATAAAGAGAACTTTCAAGCAATGTTATTGATTTCTTCCTAATCTTGGAGGACTCTAGAGGGCTACAGGAAACAGTTCCTGTGCCAGTCTGTGAAAAGAATAACAATGCAGGTAAATTATGGGCTTGTCACTTTGATACCAGTTAAGTGAACAATGATGGAATAATTCAGTTTTTCAGGAATTGCCTGTGAGAAGTATGTTATAATGTGAGTTTACTGAAAATAGATCATGACAAGCCAACACAAAATGCCAGAACTACAGGTTCCATTGGTGAAGGTGGTTGACTGGAATTCTGTAGCTCCTGTGGCCTGCCAAGCTCAGAATGTATAAATGCTGGACAAGTTAAGCATGAACAAGATACACATTAAGGAGTTAAAGACTGGCCAGCAGGTTCCTAAACAAGCACTGAATAAATGGTTTTCAGTCAAAGCATTAGGAATATCCCTTCTTCATTCCATGTACTCTGGTGAGTCACCTGGAAGAAATCAGAAAGTCCTTTCTCATGAAGATATCTTGGTGACACAGAGAAAAGGGGATGGTCAAATAATGAAGTGTAAAGGATGTGGAGATGGATGAACCTTATGTAGGAACAGTTTGACTTGAGCAACTCAGTGTTTTGCAGCTGTCTTTAGTTACAGTGTCCAAAATTAAAGACATCTATTCTACATTGCAAGGAATCTGTAAAGTTCTGTGAGGATGATTAAAGAATTTGGGAACATTCTTTGAAAAGAAAAATTCTTGTTCATTAAGGTATCTCACTCTATTTTAATAAAGAACAAATAAAGGAGTGAATCTGTCAGAACTGGAAGCAACTTAGAGAAATTACCTGTCCAGCAGGCAGCTTCAGAGGGGCACAGACCTTCCTGGTTTGTTTCCTTTCTGTAGGAAATGTGAATAATTCTGCATGTTTTCTAAATCTGGGGGCTTTCCTTGCTCTCAAAGCCTCTCCTGCTCCTGCAGAGGAAGTTGCTGTAGCTGTTATTGCATCAAGGTGCCCCCAACATTGGGAGTAATGTGCTCTGACTCCATGATTCAGAAGGCTGACTAATGCTTTATTAAAACTATACTATATTACATTAATACTGTATTTTAACTATAGTAAAGACATACTATATTATACTATATAAAAGATGCTAAAAAAAATCCATTACTGAGACAGTCAGGACACAGCTTTGACCCAATTGGCCAAGGAAACAAAACAATCCGTAGCAGAATCCAATTAACAAATCACTTTGGGTAAACAATCTCCATAACACATCCCACATGTGCCAAACAACAGGAGTAGTGAACAGAGATAAGAATTGATTTCTTTTCTTCTCTGAGCTTCTCACTGCCTACCCAGGAAAAATCCTGAGAAAGAGAATTATGTCTCTGTCTGTTCAGAGAATGTGAATGCCACAGTTCTCTTTTCTTGAAGGATCTTGAAACTCAGAAGTGCTTCATCCTTGACAAAGAGAAAGTCAGGCAAAAACTCTAGGAGGCCTGTGTGGATGAGCAAGGTGCTCCTGGACAAACTCAAAGACAAAAGGAGGCCTACAGAGAGTGCAAACGAGGGCACCTAGTGTGATAGGAATACAGAGAAATTGTCCAAGCAGACAGGGATCTGGTTTAGGAAACTAAAGCCCTGATAGAATTACATCTATGGCCATGGATGGGAAGGATGACAAGAAAATATTCCATGGGTACATCTGTGATAAAACTAAGATTAGAGACAGTGTGGGAGAAAATGTTCCTTCCTGTCCAGAGGCAAAGGGCAAACCTGCTTAACCCTGGACATGGACAAGGCTGAGGTACTTGATGACTTTTTTGCCTCTGTTTTCACTGGCAAGTGCTCCAACATCACTGCTGAGGCCACAGAAGGCAAAGGCAGGGACAGAGAGAATGGAAAACTGCCCAGTGCAGGAGAAGATCCAGGTTTGAGATGATGCAAGGAGCCTGAAAGGCCATGGAACCTGATGAGATGCGTCTGTCACTCTGAGAGAACTGGCAGATGGAGTTGTTAAGCCACTGTCCATTGCATTTCAGTCATGGGCATCCTGTGAAGTTCCCACTGAGTGAAGATGGGGAAATCTAACTCCCGTTTTTAAAAAGGCTCCAGAGAGGCCTTAGAGCCCCTCCCAGTGCCTAAAGGGGCTCCAAAAGAGCTGAAGAGGAACTTTGGAAAAGGACCTGGAGTAACAGGACACAGGGAATGGCTTCCCACTGCCAGGGGGCAGGGTTAGATGGGATATTGGGAAGGAATTCTTTTCCTGGCAGAGGTTGCCCAGAGAAGCTGTGGCTGTCCCATCCTTGCAGCTCTGGAAGTGTCCAGGGCCAGGCTGGACAGGGCTTGGAGCAAGCTGGGCCAGTGGAAGATTTCCCTGCCCATGGCAGGGGGTGAAATTGGATGAGCTTTTAGGGTCCTTACCAACCCAAACCATTCTGGGATTCTGTGATCAGAGACCTCTCTGTGTGTCCATCAAGTTGAGGGCTGCTCTTCCTGTGAAGCATTTTGTGTGTACCTGGAGTTTAATGACCTCTGTCACCCACTTGATAATGACCTCTGCCACTTGTTCTTGATAGAACATGTTCTGCATAGCAGCTTTGCAGTCACTTTCTAATTCCCTGCTACAAACAGCTTTGTCTCATCAGCAGCCTTTGTGCTATTTTTATGTGTTTTTATTTTTACTGGTTTTATGTATTTTTATTTTTACTGTGCTCTATTTATGTGTTCTTTAAGGTTTGTGAATATTTGCAGTACATCTTTCTGCAGGGTTCTGTGAGTGACCTCACCTTCACTCTCTGGATTAGAACTGACTTTATTCCTGCCTTTGGCTCTCTCTCCTTTAATCAATTATTTGAGGGAGTAAGGGGATGTTCTGTAGTAGCTCAGTTCCCCAAAAAGCCTTTGGGATCTTGGTGAAGGGTTTATGAAAATCCTGGTGATCTTGGTGCCTCCCTCATTCCTTCATGTGCTTGTTGGTTCAAAGAAGGATTTGGGAAGCATTGTTTTCTGGTAGAACAGCCACATCCAGTCTTCAGCATGGAATTATTCATAAATTTACTGATTACACTGAAGGGTTTATACCTACTAGCCAATATTGAGATCAGACACAACTACTGGGGAGAATTCCAGGCAGAGATTTCAGGCATTTCCACTTCTTCTTCGTCCTCTCATAGTTTCCTTAAATGACTGTGGATGTGACCAATACCTGTTTGGGTCTGACTGAACCTTGAATTTATGATTAATAAACTGTTTTCTCCAGTATGTGGGTTTTCAAGAAATATTGCTAAAGGCTAATTAATTTGCTTATAAAATTGTCATTCTATTGGGAATAAAAAGTAATTATCTGTGTTGAAAGTAATAATGTGGCAGCTTTGTATTGTTAGAATAACTTTTACCAGAGGTGCTGAGTACTTATCCCTTTATTCTAATGTGAAAGCAAGAAGTTTGAAGAATTGGATTTTTGAATATGGTTAGGAAGGGTCTGTCCTCAAGTGAGAGGGCAGAAAGCTGAAGAGCATTTTCTTCCTTCTCCACTGAAATGAGAGATGATCTGAGCTGTCAGATAAAAAGGAAAATCATTAAAAGCTCACTGCTTCATTTTAACAGGTCTGCCAGTTTTTGTTCCAACTCTTTATCTCCTCTTCAGAACAGTAGGAAACCAGGAAAGATGGGAACTTTTTCTGTTGCAGAACATTTATGTGACAAAGTACCTAAAAATAAACTTCAGGACTGACAGTGGTGATAAGGAATGAAAAGAGTTTCAGATTCTAAGACTGGAGATTTCACTTGAGGACACCACTTAAGCTGGATTTTCACAGAGCAAATTTTGGGCAATCTTTGTGAAAACTGCTGCTTCTTGCCTGCTTTCTGTTTAAATACTCTGCAAATTCTAGCTGTGTTTGAAGAGCTTACCTCAGTGTTACAATGCATAACTGAGTAATGCTCAGTGTCTGCTTCCAAGCTCTGTCCATGCTCACAGCCTGAGGCTCCAGGGAATCTGGG